CATGCCCACAAGCCCATTACTTATTACAGAAAATATACGAAAGACATATAGAAGAATATAATTTTGGTTACACACTGCCCAAACAATGTCTTTTGTTTTTATATGTATATATAATGTAATAAGGAGGCCTATAAGCATCTTACATACAATCGTTCTAAACCAACTCAACATACAAAAAAATCATGATGTATGCTGAATCATGATAAGTTAACTTACAACCCATTTTCTCATGAACAGATGTAAGCTCTGTAGCCACATACTTCCAGAATTTTACACATCTCATTACCACAAAGAGAAATTTTAGATGACGAATTTAAACAATCAGTGAGTAATGCTTTCAGTCAAACACTGCAAGAATACTGTATTTGAGTCCATTCACGACTGTATTGTGATAACAAGGTGAAACACAAGTGTTTTACCATATGTAGCCAGGTGCTTGACTAAGAATGAAGAGTGCGAGAAACACTGGCTGCAGCTGCTCTCTCTCTCTCTCTCTGTAGCTGATGCCCTGTGGTGCTGAACTGGTTAACAACTGTATCAGTGAGAGGAGGGAGCTGCTGAACAGGAAGAGTTACATGAACGGTGTCAGGCAGCACTGCACTGTGGGGTCTATAGTCCAGAGGAAAGAGATTTGAACTGCATTTCCCAGAGAGAGATTCAGAAAGGTCCAGGAAGAAGAATTGCATTTTCTCAAGCTGTACAGGGCATAGCTTCCTCTTGCAGTGAAGGGGAACCAGAGAGTGCTCATCTCTGTCCAGTGTGCACCACCACTGCTGCATATTGGTTGAGTTCAGAGGTGCGAACAGACAACAAAGCCACTTGGGTGCAGAGCAGAGAGTGGACTAATTGCTGTATGTGAGCTGCAGTGTTGCTGGTACTGGTGAGTTGCTGCTGTGGGGATTTACTATTTGCTGCTAGAGAGACTGAGCCCTTTAGGAATTGATCATACAGCCATCTAGTAGCCTCATGTGAGGGCTGGTCTTCTGCTACTTAATGAACAGCTCTTTTCTTTCAGTGCTCAGTAGCAGCTGCTCAGCTGTCAGTAAATTAACTGCCACTCATTGCTTACACAGTGACTTACCTGGATACCATTACCTGACTCATTAGTCCAGCTTACAGCCATCCCTTTTAACTATTTTAGCAGCTTAGCTCACTTCCTCCTTGCCTTTGCGTGGTCTATGATCTCCAGCGTGTTCCTGCTTGTGTTCCTGAGTACAACTCGGTCTGGCTGACTTCTCTTCCTATTCCTGTTCCTGATTTTTGGCTCCTGACAATGCTACTTCTGACTTCCTGACTCTGGCTTGTCTGATTACTCGCTCTGACATCCAAACCCTGGCTTCTCTTTTGACTACATTCCTGAACTGTGTTATTTTTGGTATTTCATTAAGTGTGATTTTAACTGCACTTTTTGTCTCTGCCTGGTTCCTGGTTCCTGATACCTTATTGCTGCATGCAGGTTTGACTGGGTCTGTTCTTGTTTGCACCAATCCTACAACTTAAGCCAACTTAAGAGTTAGGCCAAAAGAATGCCCCTTTACAGTTGCTACACAAAGACCTTTACCTATCACTTATGCTAAGAGGTACCTCTCTGGGATATTGCACCATATCCTAACCATTCTAGAGTGCCCTCTATACAAGTAACAGTATTATTATACACATTGCAGTTATTGCTTATATGCACTGTTTATTGCTGGCTTTCCTGATGTATGTGTTGATTCCAGCCTAGTGGTACAGAACTTTATTCTAAGTTACTTTGGCATAGTGATTATACTGTCTAGAAGATTGTGTCTGAACCTTCCTCCTGTATACTCATTTGCTCACATGCTCAAACCACCATTCATTCTAACCCATACCAATACATATACATTAAACGGTCTTGTACCTATTACCTGGTTCTAACAGGCCAACTTAAAGTGGTTCTACAGACCGAAGGTTTTTTTTTTTTACTGTAATGCATTCTCTGCATTAAGGTAAAAAAAAACCCTTCTGAGTGCAGCCCACCCATCCCCCTTCTATACTTTCGTGAGGCCGATCTTGATCCAGCACTGTGGCAATCAAGCCAGTGAGGAGGGAGGTGGGCAGAACCATACTCTGTGTGTCAATGGGCACACAGAGAGTGGCTCGGCAGGAGCGAGCCTGCACGAGTGCCCCCATAACAAGAAGCTTGCTATGGTGGGCACTCAGCAGGGGGAGGAGCACTAGTAGGGGACCAGAATAGAGGAGAATCTGGGATGCTTTATGCAAAACCATTGCATAGAACAGGTAAGTATGATATGTTTGTATAAAAAAATATAGGTTTACAATCAATTTAAAGGTATATATACCCATGTTCTTATAACTGACTTATAAGTGAAGTTGTTCTTAGAGTCGAGGAGCAGAATATAAAACCCAAATTATCAAGTGGCTCCTGTGGGGGTATCGCTACACACACCATTCATGTGTTAGCATTTTGCAACTCAATTCAGTCTGAATGTTCCCACCAAACACTTGCCCACAACACAGTATCCTACAGTGCACCGCAGCCTGAAATGTTTCTAAGTTTACTTTAGTATAAGTTCTCTATTACACTACAGCCGCAGTTCACAAAATCAGTTGCATGATAGTCACGGGGAGTTACTGGGAGTATACTTCCTTTAGCCTGTGCTGTGTATCTCATCTCTGCTTCCTGTATATCCAATCACATTCAAACTTCCAAGGCAAGTGTGATCCTTAAATGATAACTGTGAGAAACTTCACACTTTTCATATGTGAAAGAAAGCACTGGGCCTGTTTTTGGTATGTTTGGTAATACCTCTCCTGCACAACAAGCATGGGCCCTTAAAGCGGAGCTCCACCCAAAAGGGGAAGCTCCTCTTGTTTTAACCCTCCACTACCACATTTGGCACTTTTTTGGGGGGAGGGGGGAGCAGGGACCTGGCTTTGACAGGTACTTTACCTGTTCCCACTTTGGGCTCAGTTCACCACAGCGAAATGGCTGAAATGGAATTTCAGCCCCTTCCTTCCCCCCATACGTGACCAATCACAAGGCGCAGTGTAATTTGTGCATGCACAGTAGCCTGGGTGACAATGGAACTGGACCCCTGGACAGGTAAGTGTCCTTATATTAAAAGTCAGCAGCTACAACATTTGGAATTCCTCTTTAATTCACCAGATTATAGATAAAAAAGGGGTAGGTTGGGACTGGACTTTTTCTTCAAGATTTTAAATGTTAATATTTTTTACCTACCTTAGGTATAGCAAAAAGTATGCTATGCCCTTCCCACCCCTAGGCAATACAGCCTACCTGCAGTTTGGCAGACTGTACTGATTCAAAATAAAGAAACATGTTTTTGAAGCCAAACTCCAGCTTGATTAAAATATTGAAAGTTTATTGCCTACCATCTTTAAAAAAACAAAAAAATCTGCTCTGGCAGATTAGAAAAGAATTAGACTAGAAAAGGTACTTATGAGTTTTGCATAAACAGGGCTCATTCACACAGGCATGGGTGCACAAACTCAGATGCAAAGCCTGTGAATCTGGATCCATGTATGTGTCCCTACCTGTCAAACTCTAGAGGAGGGGTATTGAATTAAAATTCAAGGAGGTCCTGTCACTAAAATTTTCTTCTGGCCAAGGTCTGAATAGGGTATGCCCATCAGTGTGCCCCTTTACACTCAAAGTACCCCTTTCTATCATATTTCCCCATCAGAGTGCCCCTTTACATCACATGTGCCCATCAGAGTGCCCATTTCCACAGTATGTGCCCATTTGTGCCCCCTTAACATAAAAATGTGCCCATCAGAGTGACCCTTAGCATAAAATGTGCTCATCAGAGTGCCCCTTAACATAAAATGTGCCTGTCAGAGTGCCCCTTAACATAAAATGTGCTCATCAGAGTGCCCCTTAACATAAAATGTGCCTGTCAGAGTGCCCCTTAACATAAAATGTGCTCATCAGAGTGCCCCTTAACATAAAATGTGCCTGTCAGAGTGCCCCTTAACATAAAATGTGCTCATCAGAGTGCCCCTTAACATAAAATGTGCCTGTCAGAGTGCCCCTTAACATAAAATGTGCCTGTCAGAGTGCCCCTTAACATAAAATGTGCCTGTCAGAGTGCCCCTTAACATAAAATGTGCTCATCAGAGTGCCCCTTAACATAAAATGTTCCCATCAGAGTGTCCCTTAACATTCAATGTGCCCATCTATGTTATGCCCATCAGAGTGCCCATTAACATTCAATGTGCCCATCAGAGTGCCGCCGTAAGACTACACCCTACCTTGAGGGCAGACTGTAGCTGTGCTGGGATCCTTGCTGGACGCTTGTGTACAGGCAGGGTGCGGGAGCCAGAGAGACAGTGAGCTAAAAGGGGCAGGGTGCACATGTGATGTCATGTTGCCATGATGACTGGCCTGCTCGGTGGTGGATCTGTCATTGTAGGCTGGCAGTCCAGGCAGCAGTGCTGCTGGGGCCGTTCACAGACCACGGTCCACCATTTAGTGAGCTCTGCACTAGAGATACAGAAATGAGTACCAGATCAAACTAGATGAAAGTGTCTAAATAACAGTCTTAATTGTTGGTTAAAAAAAAGCCATATAAAATCATCCATCACATTTTGGGGACAATGCCATTCCCCCCACATCAGGACTGCAAGAACAAACATAAAACTTAGTCATAATGATGAAAAAATTATGTCTACATATGCATATACACTATATTGCCAAAAGTATTGAGACGCCTACCTTTACACGCAGATGAACTTTAATGGCATCCCAGTCTTAGTCCATAGAGTTCAATATTGAGTTGGCCCACCCTTTGCAGCTATACCAGCTTCAACTCTTCTGGGAAGGCTGTCCACAAGGTTTAAGAGTGAGTCTATGGGACATTCTTCCAGAAGTACATTAGTGAGGTCAGGTACTGATGTCGGAAGAGAAGGCCTGGCTCGCAGTCTCCGCTCTAATTCATCCCAAAGGTGTTCTATCAGGTTGAGGTCAGGACTCTGTGCAGACCAGTCAAATTCCTCCACTCCATGAAGCTCTCTACATTCTGTTGTTGTGCTGATCTGAAGGCCACACAAAGTTTGGGGGTCTTTAGCTATTCACTCTGCAGACACTTGCCGACTTCTGCACACTGTACGCTTCAGCATGCGCTCTGTCATTTTACGTGGCCTACCACTTCGTGGCTGAGTTGCTGTTGTTCCCAGTTGCTTACACTTTGTTATAATACCACTAACAGTTGACTGTGGAATATTTAGTGGCAAGGAAATTTAATGGATGGACTTATTGCATAGGTGGCAACCGATCATGGTACCATGCCCAAATTCACTAAGCTCCTGAGAGCAACCCATTCTTTCACAAATGCTTGTAGAAGCAGTCTGCATGCCTAGGTGCTTGATTTTTTATACATCTGTGGCCATGGAGGGGTTGGAACAACTGAATCCAATGATTCGGAGGGGTGTCCCAATACTTTTGGCAATATAGTGTATACCACATACAGAACATAGAATATCACATAATAACTA